ACACACACGTATATATATATATATATATACTATATATATATATATATATAAATATATAGAGCGAGTGAATGCATTACAAAATAATAATTTTCTTGTTAAAAATTTGTTGCATAAATCTATATAAAAAATAATTTTGAAAAAACGGAGAAAAGAAAAGTAAGATTTGAACCTACAACATTAAGTATTTCGCTCTAATAGCCAGCTCTCGCCTTACGCTTTCGGCTACAGCGGTTGACTGACAATTTGTCTGTGAATTAGAACATATCGAACACTAAAAATTAAATTAATTCTTTTTGCAAATATTTGAAAGTTACATCGAATGATTTTATCATTGATTAATAAGAGAGTGTTATTGTAATATTATGTGAAATTTCAAAGACTTAAATAATTTATTTAAGATATGCTAGAAGATTATTCATTGGTATACAAGAATTATAAATTTGTTGGAAATAAATGACTGGAATGACCGGAATTTAACGATGACAAATATTTTTTGTTTCCTCATAAATAAATGACTTAAAAGCTACTGACTCATGCAGACTTTCTCTTTCTCTCTTTCTGGCGATTCATGCAGTTGATGTGAGTTTCTCATGCTCTGCCCTCAGGAAGGCCTTTATCATGGCAAATCGGCAATCGATACTCGCCAATGTTCAGTCAAATGTACGAAACGATACCTAGTATATCCATGTTATCAAAATTTGACATGGATAACGAAGGGCTCTTGAGTGCCAGTAATCAGTATGCGGGAGCAACCGTCAATGGATTGATTACGTTTCATGGAAAATACGGATGGCTATTGAGGGCGATGATAAGTGGACTTGCGCTAACAAGTTTTAGTTGGTTCATCGTTTATAAAGACAGCAGGATACCCGGTGTCAATCCACCATTCCCCTTCAGCCCTTCCAGGCAAAGGTATAAAATCTTGATTTCTTTTTTATTACGGTACATTTATCTATCTAATAAATCCGCATGAGTATTTTACTTTGAAAAGTGAAATATTTACAATTTGAAAACATTTTTTATTGTATAACATATGTATATTTAAGTACTTTTAAAAAAATACTTCAAAACTCTACATAAAGTCTATACAAAAATCTATGTTTTATTGTTTATTACAAAAAAATACATATATATGTGTATGTACATTTATAATTTACATATATTTGTAAATTTTATTTATATAAAAATGAACAATATTTTATTTATTATACATTTAGAATAAGCATGATAATACGCTAATTGAAAAAAATCTATATCTAATTTAATATCGCTCACGCATATTTCAGGATAGGCGAGAGATCAGGGATCCACATGAATTATCTAGTCGGTATACTAAATGGGATATTTTGTTTCATCTACATGTGCCTTTAACTAAACGAAAACGGCATCGGGCATTCGAAAGATGGTTCTATTTTCCAGTCTGCTAATATAGTATTATTTATTGCATCTATTTATGTGTTGTCAATAACACTGCGTTTATTTATGAGTGGCTCTCATATGCGATATATTAGAAAGGATAACGATAGAGAGTCTTTATATTTTGTAGCTCTTTTTTTGATTAACATATTGCGATATTATGCAACGCTTTTGACAAATAGCTTTGTCTTCAAGCGAATCAAATACGTGGAAGCAAATTTTCCATGATGCAAGTTATGACGAGGTATTTCCTTATTATTAAAGAGAGTCCTACTTCTATGTATTCTAATAGTTGCTATTACTAACGGCACTAAAAAATATTTAAGTAGTTACGCGTCGACTAAAATCATCACAGTACAAAAAAATAGACGGTTGTATCCTCCTTTTCAAATTGGATTACCATCGTTTAAGATCGACCGATTAACTGATGAAAGGGCATATTTATTAATAAACTAAAATAAGTGTTGCGAGGTACAATTATACGAAGAAAATATATTTTTTTTTGTCGCGCTTAAGAAGTGACATTGTCAGAAGTGTCAAGAGAAAAAAAAGAGGCATATAGTAACATTATATTTATTATATTTAACGCATTGTTCTGAATGTTACATCACATTTTAAAAAGTTGTTGGAATCTCTTTGCTGGATAGCTGGCACGCCAAGAATGTTGTGACGAAAAACACGAAGAACGCGCATCTCAGACACATTAATTTGTATTCATATGCTTACAATTTAGTTGTCCAGAATTTGTAGTTCACTATTTAGAGTAGGAAAGATGGAACAATGGGTTTGAATACCGATCAATTCTAAATTCAAAATAACAAATTCTATACAACATTGACTTAAATCCATGAGCTTGAAGAACAGAGCATGAGACAGTATTATGGACGTGAAGAGGCTGAAACCTTGGTGGAGAGGGGTCAGCGATATATTTATTTCGCAACTTATTTATTGTTTTTTAAACAATATTAGTTTATTATAATATACATGTAGTGGCGTACAACGCCATTATATAAAAATGGGTTACAAGTGTAACTTATCCTATTAATAAACCAAATTGTTTATTGTTTAAAGAACGATAAATAAGCTATAAAATGTATTATTTTCCATTTGAAAAAGTTATTTATTATTAAAATTATTTATTACTGAAAAACTGAATAAATAATGTAATTTAAAATAAATACTAATAGTAAATAACAGTATTGATATAATTGAAAAAGATAATCCGTGCTACCAGAGGTTTATTCTTCTCATTTATTGCTCCATTTTTCAAGTCCATACTTAAAATTCATTTCGACGAATAATAAATTTAAGTATATAACAAATATGTACATTGCGGCTTTGATCTCGTAGATATTGAGCGAATAAAATTACGACTGATAATTAAATTATGAATATTTATAAAAATTACATGAACATTTGAGAGCGCGAGGAATGACAGCTATATTTCAGAGAAAACCAGAATCATGTGATCATTCCTGATCGTCTATTATGTAATAGAACATAAGAAGCTTCCTCTCCAGTCATCGTAGAGTTAATGTTATAAAAAACAAATATTACAAAGTCTTTATTTTTTAAACGACAGACTAACAGACAGGATTAGAAGAGAAGAAGAAGAAGAAAAAGAAGGGAGTTATTCATAAGCTGTATTTTGTAAATAAATCTATCGCTGTGTTTATGCGCACGTGGTGAAAGGCTGCTAAATAAAGCGAGTTCAAGTCACCCATGGGTCACACATGTTTTGTCTCATTCGAATATCCCGCCCAACGACGACGTGTTCGCGCACAGTAGTACATCCCTGGCGCTGCGCGGCGGATGATGCAATCGGCGGCGCGCGACGATTTGCGCAAGATTACAAAACAGTCAGTACACGGTGTGTAGCATCGTGTAGCATCGTACGTGGGGCTCAGAAGTAAGTACGCCCGTCCGTTTAATTTCCTCGCTGTTTTCCGCGTCGATTTTCCGGAAGTCACCGTCCTTGTCGAACCCTCGGCGATGGCGAACGAGGTGCGCCCCGCCCCCGAAGCCGAAGCCAGGACAACGGCGGACCACCAGGTCTACAAGATCCATAACCCGGACGACTTCGACCGAATCACCAAAGGGATTAAGGTTGCGCGGTGCATGCAGTCGCCGACTTCCTATGGTGAGCCACGAGTGTTTTAATTAGAACGGAGGAACTCGCGACCGAAAGTCTGGAGGCGACAGCTGTCTGTTGCTCCAGGCTGTGTGTTTGTGTTTCTTCCATTGGGTAGTGAAATACATCTAATTTCACATTTCTTCCCGGAAACAGACGTTTGGAGGAGTGCGATCAGGTGCAGAAGGTGTAACTAGAGAACGTGGCTGAAGCACATTACATACATGACGTTTGACAAAAGTGAAAGGCATCGAGCGAACTTACATTCTCATGATTATACGATGTAACAAGAAGCATCTTTTTCCACATTAATATTCTATATGCTGACATTCAATTTTATAAAAAATATTGATATGTTAGAGTATTATAACAAAAATTTTTTCATATCTCCAATCAGAAAAATATTAATTATTAATCAGGAAATTAATTATACTAGTCTCCTTTGACTGTAGAAAAATGAAACTTAAATTAAGGGAAGTTTAATTATACTTTTGAAGTTTTCAGGGATATTTTCTTCAAAATGTATATAGTGATTTACAAATTACTACTATATCATAATCAAAATTAAGCAAATTAATTTTAGAGAGTTATGTTAAAATTAAATTAATTTCAGCTAAATTAAAAGCTAATTCTAAAAAAAACATTTATATTAAATTATAAAATGCTATAACTTTTTATAATTAAATTATTATAATTAGATTACTTTAAACGATAAAAAAAATGAAATGAAACAAAAAAATCTTAATTCCGAGAAGGAAGTTAAAATGAATGTTTTAAAAAGTATAATTAATTAACATTAAAAGTTAATCTCATTTGAAATTAATTAAGTTAAAAGTTCTTCATAACTTGTAAGTAATTAGTTATAATTAATTAGTTCTTCATAACTTGTAACTGATTAACTATAGTTATTACTATCCAACTTTGATTATGATTAACATTATTAATGATAACATTTTGTATTAGAATTCATTTCATCAGAGCAAAGAGAGCAATCTTTGATATAGAAAGTTTATTATTGTCTTATGATAAAATTATTATTCTCAGAAATCAGGAAAACCAATTTCTTCAGTTTCTTCAGTTTGTATGAAGGAAGGAAAGAAATGTTTAACAGTTGAACAATGACTAACAGTTTAATAATATTCTATATATAGAATTTTCCATTTTGCAGTGCCTGATAATGACCAGCTATTAAGTCAACTGGTAGTGTCTGATTCTCTGTGCTGTTCCTACTGTAACACTGAGTTTGAGGACAAGGCGCAACAAAGACTGCACTACAAGTTAGATTGGCATCGCTATAATTTGAAGCAACATCTGAACGGCTTGAAGTCCATTACCGAGGACAGTTTCAATAGGTTGGCCGGCGAAGGTACAGTCTGAGATGAAGTACACGGCGAAGAACAGTTAGGCATGTGGAAATTTTGTAGGCGACATGTCTAGCCTGTCCGGTAGCGAGGTAGAGTCCGAGAACGAGGACGATGCTGGTACTTCGGAGACTGGGACCTCGTCTAATGAGCAAACCAAAAACGAGCCGGCAACCAAGACTGGACTTGGCAGGTCTAAAAAGATGTCAGAAAGACGCGGGAGGACGATCGAGTCTGATATTTCGGACACGGAGTACAACGAGGAGATGTCCAAGGAACGGAAATTGCAAGTCGTTGCGAGCCGCCATACCAAGGTGTTCTTTGAAAACGACGATGGCAACATATTTAGCATCTACCGGTGTCTGCTGCATCATAAAAAGGTGTGTTTGATTATCCTCAATTAGAAAGACGTTTAGTAGATTCATGCGCTACGTTATTGTTACGCGTGCTTAAAAGATATGCTCGCGTACAGAGGCATTATCTTGAAACTTAATCTACTTTGTTAGAGTCACTTGGCGTGCTCTATAGTTGCCAGATCGGGAGATATGCACTTACGTTTTAGGACATTCCCGAAAAAGATAGCGAGATGATTACTCAGGCGTTGGACAGTGGGAAAAAGACTAAGTGGACGGTCATCATGGTCGGCGGTGGACACTTTGCCGCTGCTGTATTTCAAGGTAATGTATCTTAATAAGTTTTTGTAAGTATACATGATTGTTACATCCGTTCGCTTTGATGTATATCGCAGATGGTGAGCCTATCGTTCATAAGACCTTCCATTCTTATACCGTGCGGGCGAAACAAGGCTTTGCTCAGAGCTCCCGTACGAATGGTAATCATGCAAAAAGTGCCGGCGCTAGTTTACGGAGATATAACGAAGCGTCGCTTATTCAGGTATATTTGAGTTTACCCAATTTCATAGAGATTAATGAATTCTTTAACAATTATATCATTTTGTAAATTTGATTCTTTTAGCATGTGCAAGAGATATTGGAGTCATGGTCAATGCACATCAATAATTCATCGGCTATTTTGTATCGAGCGGTCGGTCCGCATAATCGCACAGTGCTCTTTGGTGGCAAGAATCCTCCCTTAGATAAGAATGATTTTAGAATAAGACCACTGCCATTTCCTACTCGCAGAGCAACATTTAGAGAAGTTAAAAGGGTATATGATATATTAAGCACCATGGAAATTTATGGTAAACAGTTGGTCATAAACTTTTGTGATCGTATTTAATTGATCTATCATACCAATCGATTTATTTTTTATAACGAAGGCTCCGCGGCAGATTTCACGGATTGTTTCCCCAATTCTCCAAGACAGCCCATACGTAAGAAGGTCTCAAAACCAGAGATCATGAGCGAGATACCCGAGGGAGAAATTACCAAATATAATTCTAATACTGGTAATCTACAGGAAATTGATAAGATTAAAGCACCTGCGCAATCTACTCCAGAAAAACAACATCGTAATTCCCGTCCGCACATAGATAGAGCGAAACCGAGGAAAAGTCCGAATCGGCCACTGCCAGGTACGCATTATTAAAATATAAATAATTAAATTTAAGACGATCAAAGTTTTATTAAATATGTGTGATTATTATTAAGAAATATTTTATTTATGTTATTTTATATATTTATGCTGGATTATAGAGACTTTTTATTTTACAGATATTATTCTTAAATTAGCTCAATCATCTTCTGAATCTGAAATGGATACAAATCTTCCATTAGACATCCCCTTAATTGAAGAAGACTTTGAAACATCATTCAGGGAGAATTTACAAGCGTTTCAAGATACTGTGCCAAGATACATGAAAAACAAGAAAGCTCACCGGCAAAAGAAAAAAGTAAAGAAAGATGGTAAATCTCAATTTTTTTTTTAAATAGATTATATTAAATTTATAATTTCTAGAAATTTTTTTATAACAATTTAAGAGTATAAGAAAATGTTCCATTTAAATTACATAATGTAAAAATATGATTTTTCTATATTGTTTTTAGCTCCGGTAAATAACGAAGTGCTATCCGATGCTAAAATTAAATTGTGGACTGCCTGTAAGCAAGGCGATAATGACTTATTATCATCGGTTATCGATAACTTGCTAGCTAAAATTAAAGAATGCGAGGAGGAACAGAACAAAAAAGATATTATAGATAATTGCGCTATATCCAATAATACTCTCGTGAACACGGACAATGTGGCGAAGTTGGTAAACGATACTAATGAGGACGGTAACACGATGTTGCATTTGGCGGCGCTTGGTGGACATTACGAACAAGTGTGGTGAGTGCATTATATTTTATTTATTGTAGAATAAATATTATAACTTACTATTTAATAAAATTTTGGATGATTTTATATAACTCTATTTGTCCTTAGGTTATTACTGGAAATTGGATCTGATCCTTGCAATAAAAATAAAAAATTACAAACGCCTTATGCCGCTGCGAATGATAAAAAGACTAGAAATACCTTCAGAAGATTTATGGAAGCTAATCCGGACAAATTTAATTATCAAAAGGTATTATTAATGGAACGTTGCATTTTGATATATTTATCAACAAATTTCATTAAATCTATAAATTATATTATTTTTTAATGTCTGACTCAACTTAGTCTCAAATACCTGGGCCGCTCTCGGATGAGATTGAGCAAGCGGAAGCAGAGAAGAAAAGACAGCAACGAAAGTTGAAACGCTTCAAAGAAAAAGTTAAAAGAAAGGAATTTGAATTGAAGAAACAGGAGGAAAACGAGAAGCAGAGGTTCCTTAATCTCAGCGATGGAGAAAAGGTAAAGTGCATTGAAAGTGCATTTTAATAGCTTTTGTTAACAGCTTCCGTCAGTGTCGATTTTGATATTTTATTTCTTTCTTTTTGTTTTATAGAGAGCATTGGTCACGCAGAACCGGATGTTGAGCGCAGGATACACTGTAATATCGCGATGTTTCCAATGCGCCATTGATATGACTAATAAGGTGCCTTTCGAGTACAACGCCAATCGTTTCTGCTCAATGCCATGTCTCAAGGAACACCGTCTTCACAATAAATATGTTATCTGATGGTGCATCATGTCTAGCTAGGAAAACTTTTATGCCAATTATTCATTCAATCATGCTCATCGGCTACAGAGAAGCTGCATTTGCAGACAACTTATATAGACAACTCATACCGAATTAATCTACGGCTTCTTGTGGAATTTGTCTTGTAATTATTGGAATGTAGAATAGAATTTTCACAACCGTCGTCATTTTCTTTGGAATATTCTTTTTTACATATAATAAAGTTCATTTTCACGCATTTTAAGAACGAGAAAATTTTTTAATTAATTTTCAGAAAAGCGAAGAAATTAAACTGACAGTGAGAAAATGATGTAAGATACAAAGAATTCGAATAATATATGCAAAGTTATCGCAGTGTGATAATGTAAAAAATTATATGATCAAGGGATTTAAAAAATTCTTTCAGGCTATAACAATGGAGTATATATTTTGATCTATATATAATCGGATGTACATAAAGGGCAGAGGTTTTTTTACAAAGTATAATATATTATTCTATTAATATATTATTCTGTGTACTTTCACTTGCTAATATTTAACATCTTTACTCATTAAATGCCATACAAATATTATATATGTGTGTATAGGAGTATAATGACATACAACTAAAAAAAATAAAAACTACTCAACGTATACATTCGCGTTCATATTAGAATATTTGCGGAAAGATCATATGTACATATATACAGGACGCTTAAATAGAATATTCAATGTTCTTAACAAAACAGAAAAATAAATGTTCATAAGGAAAAATTTACTTGAAAATAATATCTGAATAAATAAAAAAATAGCTATTTGAAAAAATTTTTTAATAAATTATGAATGTATTATAAATATAAATAAAACAGTTCATATATATATATATAAAATTACTTGATACATTAAAATAATTTTTTATTTAAAGCATCCAGATTTTTCTACCTATTCACAATTGACATATAACAAGTAAATTTATTTTTGATAAAAAAAATTTATATAAATTTTTAGATAAGAAATAGAATGTTTAAAGAAGAGCTTCATAAATTGCTAAATATCAATAATTGTAACTTGAATCTTGATCAATAATGGAAATAAATAAAGCAGTGTAATCAGATTAAAAAATTAAATGTTAGAGGAATGCTATCTGTTTATTATTAATTAATTTTTTGTAAAGATAATTTATTGATGGCATCCTATATATATCCGTATATATCGCTCGTAAAGTTGTGTTAATGACTAGTATCATCAAAAAATGAACTTTTTCCCGCGTTGTATGTTACGCTAAATAAATTTGATTTTGTGATTAAAAGTACGTATAATCGCGAAAATCCGACACAGTATTTGCAAGCGAAGAGTATCTTTCCGATGAAAAAAATGAAAAGTTTGTACGTTCAAGAACATTAAACGATCTCACAAATTCGACGTAACAATGCAACGATCGACATCCAGCAATATATTATAATTCTGTAGCTGATGTATATATGTACAAGGTGATTATCTTTACACTTAATTTCTATAGGCTTGATAAAAATAGTGCACAAAATACACATCACAAAAACGATCGAATGGTTTCACATAGTTCGAAATTCGAACGAAAAACACGTAGCTCAATGATCCAAAATAAACGAGCTCCAAAGAGCTGTGTCAATTTTGACGTGCGATTTTGACGAAGATCAAAATTTTTCTCCATTTTTTCGATCGCCCTATATATTCTTCCTGGCTCTCCTCTTGGACATCCGAGATATATACAAAGCAGAAATCATTTCGGAATCAAGGAAATCAGTGAAGCACAAATCTGACTTTCATTTAGGCTGAATGCATGCGAAATATCGCGTGTATACATATCGTGATCCTCTGTTTGTGCAAAAATAGATGTCCGCATTCGGCTTTTACTTCCGGTTCGTTCTATCGGAAGAATAGTAACATATTTAAGTACAAAATATCCGAGATTTCTGTTCGAGATCATCTTTTTCCTTTTTCTTGCGTCGATCTCTCTCGTGTCTGCCTTGATCAAGGTGTACAGTCTCGCTTGTGCTGGATTCGTTTCACTGATCTCATGCGCATAGCACTCTGGGTGTACATATATTTTCTTCAGTCTTTTATTACGTAAAAGGGCTGTGTAAACTTAAACTGGGAGAATTCCGTCGTGCAAATATTTTACGTTACGATAATATTCGAGATATTACAATGTTTTTCGTTAAAATGTTAACTGCGATGAGAATTTCATATTCTTTACAAAGGAAAATTCTCAAGTCGAAAAGTGTAAAAGTCTGCATTCTTTGAAGATCTGTATTTGTTAATTAAGTAATTTAATTAATAGGTATATCATCTTGATTGATATACCTTTGGAAATAATAATAATAATTAGTTCATCAATAATCCTGGAGAGTGAGACTGATCCGCATTCGAGTACACGATCAATCATTTAATTCGATCACCCCAATCATTTTCAATTATTAATACAAATTTCTATAACAACGTAAATTGTGATTTCTTCAATATTTTTTTACTCGAGAAAGATGATCGTGTAACTTATTCCGAGATGCATACTTATCAAAATAATTGAATTCGTTTTTCATTTCTTCAAGATTGCCATCATGCCATGATCAGCAGGCGACAATCAGAGCGATCGAATTTCGACGTTTCGTCCGTTTCTTCTTCAGCTTCTCCATCGGTTTAGACCGATGTGGAATCGTCCGTGTCGGTGTCATCGCCGTAGAGACCCCGCCCGTCGGTCTTCGTCCAGGTCGCGGTGTTCTCCACACCGATCTCGTATCTGTTCTCCTGTTGGGCATTGTTGGACGGCACGATTCTCACGTAGGTCTCCCTCATGCCATCCTTCTGCTCCGTGACACCCTTGGCACTCCTCTCCTCGCAGCTGGCGGACTTGGAGCGGGTCTTCTCCTCGGGCTTCCTCGTCACCGCCTCGATCGACTCCAGCGAGCTCTTTCTGCGACTATTCCTGCGGTTCGTCCTGTCGACCTGGTCCTTGCCGGTAGTGGAGGTCTTCCTACCACCCACCTTCGGGCTCTCGTTCTCCAGATACTTTCGAATCCACTTGGGCGTCTCGTTCGAGTACGCCTGCGCCTTCTTCGCGTACTTGCCGGGCGTGTTCGGCAGGATCATCGGCACCTCCGTCTCGATCACCGTCGTGATCACCTGCTCGTTCTCGTCGAAGTTGCTCTCGAGGTACTTGCGCTTCGGCGTGCCGCCCACGCTCAGCTTGCCGAGGGTCGAGACGCTGCCGCTCTCGTCGCTACCGGGCGTCTCGTACGTGTACGAGTAGTGCCGCTGGATGTGCTTCGGCTCCTTCTCCTGTCGCTGTTGATCCTGCTCCTTGACCTCCTGCTCCTTCTCGCTCCTCGTCTCCTGGTTCTGTCGGTTCTCCTCCTTCTCGATCCTCTTCAGCTTTTCGAGCGCGTCGTCGATCGAGTATCGCGGCGACTTTCTGCCGCCGGTGCCGAACTCCGGCAGCTTCACCGGCGACAGCAGCGACTGCCGCAGATTGCCGGCGATGCTGTGCCGCTGCCGGACAGGCGGGTCCAGCAACCGGCGCAGGCTTGAATTCCTGATCTCCGGTACCGACATCCTCTCTCGGACCGGGATCGGCGGCGGTTTGCCGGAGGAGCGCGCCTTCGAGAACGGGATGATCTCGGACTTGGGCGGCGACGGCAACGTCGACGTTTTCCTGCCGGTGAACGGGAAGTCCGGCGCGAGGAACCGCCTCTCGCCGGGCGGGAAGATCGGCGACGTGCTCGCGACGATCACGCTCTGGAGAACCTCGCAGGTGGGGCTCTTCAGCTTGTCGGACGTTATTCCCGTGAGCTCCTCGGTCTTCATCTGCTGGTGTTCGAAGATCGGCGAGCTGGCGATCGGCAGGAGTCGCGACTTGCAGCTGTCCTGGCTGTCCAAGCTGAAGCGCTGCTTTGCCAGCTGGCTGTCCAGGCTGAAGCGCTGCTTGGGCGTGCCGGCGATCAGTCGCAGGTCGTTCTGCGTTTCCAGTTCCGGTATCGAGAACCGATCGCGATTAAACTTCACCTGCGCGTTGTTGTCCTTGATGTTTCGATACTTGGAGCCGATGTCCAGCTGCGACAGACGGTCGCGCTGGCTGGCTTGCAGAACGGCTGGCACGAATCTCTTGTGCTTGAGGGGGAAGGGCGGCGGCGAGGGTGAGTGCATGCCGACACCGCCGATCTCCCGGCCGGTGCTCAGGCACGGTTGGGACAGTCGCTGCTGCACTCGGCCGGGGTAGTAATCGCCGGTGACGAGGGTAGGCTGCGACAGCCGTTCGCGCTTGTCCTGCCGCAGGGCGAATCGGCGCACGTCCGGCTGTGACAGCCGCGACGAGCTCCTCTCCATCGTCAGACTACCGCGGGGGCTCACGCTGCCACCCAGGGCGTGCACGTTCGGCGTCGACAGTCTCTCCTCCTCGTTGATGCTGTTGTCGCCCGAGGTGGCACGCAGGCTGGTGTAGGATAGGCGTCCGCCGCCGCTGCCGCGGTGCATGCCGAAGTTGAACGAATTGATGCCGCTCAGGCTGGAATTGAGGGTCGGTTGCGACATGCGAATACGCCGATCCGGCGAGCCGCCCGATCGCCGATCGTACGAGATCAGCAGAGTCGGCAGATTTGGCTGCGAGTAACGGCTACGCTGACTCGCGGGTGAGTAACTCGGTGGACAGGGGGTGGTTGAGCGGGTGCCCTCGTAGGTACCCGAGTCCTGGGACTCGATGCTCGACTGCGACTGCGGCGGCGCCTTGACGGGGGTGATGTGCAGATTCGGATGGGACAGCCGGTTCTTGCGGCCCTGGCCCCGTGGCTTCAGATGGTCAATCAGATTCGGTTGGGACAACCGGACGATGCATGGGTTCGGGCGCCGGTTTAGGTACCAGAGGTCCCGGCGGGAATACGGCTCGCATCAGAGAGTGCCCTCTTCGCGAAGGCGCCGCATGAAGACCGGTCGCACGTCTTCGAAGAATGATGGCAGATCGAGCTCGGCAGCGCGCGCGATACCGCCGTCCTTGCATTCCAACCAGTAAGTGTCCATGAGGCCCTTGCCCTGAGAGAAGCGAAGTCCGAGATAAAAATCAACGTAAAAAAAAAAAAAAAAACAACGGAATTGTTCAAAATTGATTAATTGTCGACAAAGAAAATTAATTATCCAATAATCTAAAATTTATCTTGATATATTCTTAGAATGTAGTGTATAGATATAACAAAATGAGAAAAGGATATTTATATTTATATTCATATTTAAACTTATATTTGTATTTATATTTAAACAACTTACTTTCACGTCAACGAGACCACGGTGCTCGATTTTGAAACCGCCCACCGCGTCGAGCGCCTTCTTCATTTCCAAGCTGATGTGAATCCGTAAAGCTTGTGTGTAAAAAAAAACATAAAAGAAAATTAATCAGTATATTAAAATATAATAATAAATATATAAGTAGAATAGAGATAGTAGAAATAAATTTGAAGAAAATGGAAATTGCGAAGAATATCTTCATGATTGGCTCAACTTCTTGCCGTTATTTTAACTACGGAGTCTCAAATTTCTACCTTCACCGGTCGATTCCATGCGACTCGCGGTGTTCACGGTGTCGCCGAAGAGGCAATAACGAGGCATCTTGCTGCCGACGATACCGGCCACGACGGGACCGGTGTGGGCCCCGCTTCGTATCTGCAGCCGTTCGCCAGGGCGTTTGGGCACCTGGAACACGGACGATGCCGCCAGCAGATCTAACGCCATGGTCGCGATCTCGGACACGTGCTTGTCACCTGGAAACAAAAGGAACAAAATCTGTTCGTAATAACGCAAGCATTGCTAACGCAAGAACGAAATGCACTTATTTATTCAGGGATTGTTGAAATTTATGTGCACGAAGAAGGGAAACGGTGCATTTACCAAGCAAGATCGAGCAAGATGACGGACGGCAAGAGGAGTTGAGGGGTTTCGTACTTTTACCATTTCTAACAGGTAGACCAGAAGCGACCATGTAAGAATCCCCGATGGTCTCCACCTTGTAGACGTCGTAACACTCGATTCGCGCGTCGAACAGCTTGTAGATCGAGTTGAGGAACGTCACCACCTGGAAGAAACGCCAGCTTTCTCATTACCGCGTTATGCAGATACCACCGACGTGAATCATTCGTCACACACGTTTCATCGTACTTCACGTGTAAAATTGAAAATTAAGTCTGATCGGATTCGTAATCCGACCGAGATTAAATAAATAATACGAGCGATTGTTCGGGCAAATGGCGATCGTTCGGGCAAATGATGGGATAATGATGAGTGATGAATACGAGAGGGATGAGAATGGTGCACAGGTGGATGAATGATCAATTGCCACACGTGCGATTCGGAATAGTCCTTGCGTGCGTCCCGCAGGAATTCGCGTGGTATGCGCGCGATTTCATCATCGCGACAACGAGCGGGAACACCGTGCGATGGAACTTCTGCGTAATTTAGCAATTCGCTTCAGGATCGATCGGTCATTCCTGTGGGAAACAGAATGGGCGATGATGTACCTCGAGAGGTGTGTTTTCCGCGGCGATCTCCGTGAAACCGACTATGTCGCTGAAGTAGACAGTCACCGCCTCGTAATACTCCGCTGGTACCTGATGAACAAAAAAAAAAGAAAAAAAATTACGAATCCCTCGATCGTGGAAGACAGATAGCAGAAAAAATGAAAAAGAAACTTTTTTCTTATCCTTCACGATCGATCATTTAAAGAATGATGCAAGACAATATTAAAATTGACAGCGTTTAATAATATTATAGAGTTAAAGGATTAAAGAATTTTTTTATTAAAAGTTTTATAAAAATTTGTTTTAAAAGAAAAAGAAAGGAGTTTTGAAAAAGTGAGACTTTAAAAAAATGATTGCGTTTATGCAAAATTTATTTATGCTAAATTTGTTAATTTCAAAAATTGCAAGTAAGATTTTATAGAGAAACTTAAGGATTTTTAAGAAAGAGATTTTCGTTCGAGAGTGATCGAGCGTTAAATATCACGCAATCACGAAAATATCCAAAAAGTATCCTTTGAATTTTAAAACTTTTTAAATTAATTTAAGCGATTCGAGATATTTCGGTTCACCTGTTGAGTCTGCTTGAGTTGCTGGGCAACGCTAGGTGGAAGCATTTGGAAAAGCAAAGTGTCGCTTTTTCTCTTCTCACGTTTGAGTTCGCGTGCCTTTTGAGACAAATTCGCGGCGTACATCTGCAATTAGTAAATTGAATCGTCACGATAACTTTGAACTTGAATAATAAGAACTAAACGGCAAATGGCGATCAAGAGATTGATATCGCCTATTAATTTTAGATAGAATCAAATTTTACGAATAATAAAATTTTACGAATTTTACGAATAATAAAATTTTACGAATAATAAAAATGTTTTTGATCAGAGATTGAAAAAAATTTTCTCTTCTCTCATCGTGACCTAGACTTCAACAACTGACTCTCCATTGAGACGTCAGTCCCACAACACGTGATTTATTCGTCGACGATCTCGCGGCCTACAGAGTTCGGAATTTCGAGTTGTAAGATTTGTCGTGATGTGAACTAATTAAAGCATAATCACGTTTCTCATAGTTCTTCCTGTGAATTCCGCATCCGAATGAACAAAATTAACGTCTACAACCGACGATCGAAAAGAATCGTAAAAGAATTGCGAATTCTAATCCAATTTATATGATCCGTTGATAAAAAAAAAAAAGACACTGAATCTATCCATCGGAAATGTTATTAATTTCTTTCATGGAATGAGAAAATACTCTAGGTAACTTGTTTTTCAATTTCAATCATCTGTAACTCGGATGTTTTTACGAAACGTGTACTTCCAGGAATGACTCGTCTAATCAAGGAAAAATCAGAATTCTGCTAAAAAAAAAAATAAACCGCGATGAAAATTGAAGCTCGTATTATATCCTGTATACAAATTACTGCGAACGCCACGTCGTCAAAGAGAGTCGTGTGTAGCATGAAAGGAAATCAAATCGACGGCTTTGAATCGTCGAGCACAAACCTGAATGGTGGCGACGGCGTTGCGCATCAGTATGATAATGATGGGGGATACCACCAACACCAGAACGACAATAGCGATCCCTGCGACTTCCTTGTTGCTCGCATCTTGTAACGTCGAATTGACGTAATCCCTGTATATCACACGGCGATCAACATATTTCACAGGTAATTTAATGAAGCGTTATTAAAAGTTATCAAACAATAAATATTACGAGATTAATTTACTAAAGCATTATTAAACGTTATCAAACAATAAATGTTATAAAACAGTCAATTCATTTAACATCAAGAGACTAGCAAAATTAAATTAAATAAATTG